TATTCTATTCTTCTAAGTATATCTCTTTGTAACGAACTTTGGTAACTAGTCACTAATATTACTACTCTTTGTCTTATATATCCTCCTAGTGGCGCGCTAAGCTACTCAGCTACTTAGAGCGCCAAATTTAAAGGGAATATATTATCTTTACATATATATATGTAAATTAAACTGGTCGAGTGATTTATAATTTTTTTAAATTATTTTTTAATAGTTTAAAGTCAGAAGTAAATCAAAATGTAAAGTAGTATCTGTACTACTTTATATATATGTATATTGCCTGGTTTATAAAACCGTCAATTATGAGGCAAGCCTCGCTTCTTTGCTATGAGAACAGACCCCTTAGCTTACCAGGTAGATTTTACGTTTAAAATTTTTGAATTAAGTTGTTGATCGGTCCAGTCTTTGTGTTGTCTCTAAGTGTGCACACCTCTACCACGAGAGGTGGCAGCAAACGTCTTGTTATACCAGTGCACCAAGCAAGGAAACCCGTCAGGTTGCCTAGGGAGATTAGGTTGAGCACGAGCAGTGACCGGTGAGTCAGTTGGACCGGACGAACCTTAGGGCTCGCCGGCAATATGTCTGATTAGACGATTTTTAATTTTCAATGTGTCAATTGTATCCGGTCGAGAGGGCAGGCAGGCAATCCTCAGGACCGTTGTTTGCAGAGACAACTGTATTTGCTTTTCCTCCTCCGAAGATACTAATGACGAGAACCATTAAGAGGTCGATGCTTGCTATTATACTATGATACCAATTTTTATTTTTTTTGGAAGGTGGGAAAACCTTTTGTAAGCACCGTGTGGACTCTCGAAAGATTGCCAGGGTGGTATGGGACTCCCCAATCGAGGGTTTACCCACTAAAAACCTACCTTTTCCTGTGTTACGTTCGAATACACGGAATAGCTGTACTCCCTGCTGCCGAATTAGGTTGTTGGGGTGCAGGTTACCTATATGGAGTGATTTTGGGTCCTTCAGTTCAACCTACACCTTCGTGCTGGGACAGGACTCTATTTGTCATTTGTCCCTACCTGTTCTAGTTGGTGTGGGATCCGCCCCGATAGAAGCCCCAGAGGGATGCTCCCTGCTGTACTTGATGATGATATCATACATATGTCGTCTGCGTAAGCTACGGCACGGACGATATGATCAGGGGATATCATCGGATATCCGACCGTAGCCGAAACGAAGCGCAATACTCTATCGATGAACAACGAAAAAATTATGGTACTTACTGGATCACCCTGCCGCACTCCTCCCCCAACACTGATACTACTCTCTGACCATTCCCTTTGTATTTCCAAGATCGTGGTGGAGTTTTGTTCTAATGTTTTTAAACAAGTTCGGTCAGAACCCTAGACGGCCTCGGTAAGGGCCGATGTTATGGCTTGGTGGTTGACGGAGTCGAATGCTTTTGGCCACGTCTAGTTCCACCACGTGAGATTCACGTTTGTGACTCCTGGCGTGACATTGACTATTAAATTATTTACACAGCATTGGTTTCGTTGGTGCTTTTTGTGAACAGCGCTTCTTTTGTTGACATACATCACAATATTGCAACAACAAGGAATTTTGCTGTTTTGTAATGTTTTTGTAACATTTATTCAGTTTGTGAAACATTCAATCACGATCTGCATATTGCAATGGGTTTTATACAGCACTTCACACAATTTTTCTTCAGTCACGTAATATTTTATTTCATTGTCTATGGCAGAAAAAATTAATATATTAACTCCTCGGTCTCCAATTACATCATAGTGCTTTGTTTTCTTTTGTGTAGAAACTTTAGCACATTTTACTTCCTCTATAAGTTTCTTATATTTCACTGATGACGTAAACGCACTGTTAACATTCACCGGTAAAAATTTCAATTTTTCAGCGAACTTTTCCTCAATCAAATCCATTTCTGAATTATCTCTTTCTATTTTTTTATTCGGTAACGAGAATTTTTCGTCTTGACCATCGAGTGTCGAGTGTTATGTATATATATATATATATATGGTGTATAAGCGCGGCATTCTTTCCTAGGGAAGGGAAAAATCTGGAAGACCTCGAAAAAAGTGGCATGAAAGCTGGACATCATCGTCACAAGATCAACAAATGTCCTAAAAAAAGAGAACTATATAGCTAATATATAAAAGGACGAAGACCTTACAAAAAGGAAAAGAAAAAGAATTTGGTTATTTTAGAAGCAATCATCCGATTACCTGGAAACTGCACTTCCAACTGAAGCATTAGTTGGATTGCCTCTTTTGTAAAAACTTTGCCGTTCTTGGGTGACTGCTCACCCTGTGTGGTTTCAGCTGCTCTGGCCTCATTCTTGATAGCCAGATGCCAGTGTCGTTGATACTTCGACAAACCGACTTTTTTTTTTAGAAGCATCACCACATTCGGAGCACATATGTCTGTTATTTGTTAAGGGAGCTGCTGGCTGTGCACTTGGGTATGTTGCACTGCGCCGGGTGCTTTCTTTTGTATGTCTTGATACACCTGGAGCACTTATATAGGATGTCCGTTTTGTGCTCATTCAGGTGCAACACTAAATTTTCTAGCGTCAGTGCCAAATATTTGTGACATATATTACATAGCACTTTCTAGAAAGGTAACTCTACTACGTACTGCTCCGGTACGTGGCCGTGGTCGTCGTTCATGACCTCCATATCTTGTCTCGAGCGAATGGGGCCTTATCGTTCTTGTCCTAGGCTTCGTCTTCTTTATTTTTAGCTTTTTCCTTTTCTGTTTAAGCTTCCAAGGGGTTGCTAGGTCCTTCAAGGCCGAGCCTCTTCATCTACACCCTGTGGAATCGAATCTTCCCGCAGGGTTGCTGCTCTATTTTAGCCTCCCAGAAAGGAAGTTTCCATCGGTGCCACGTGATGGTAATAGATATCCTGGTGAGTCCGTCCTTACCAGAGTGAAGAGTGGTGACCCTCGCCAAGGGCCACTTGCTGGGTGGGAACCTCTCGTCCGTGAGCAGTACTAATGAGCGAGGCCACTTTGACGTCATTGGACGGGTGATGCCACTTCGGTGTTGACTACATGCGCTGTAGATAATGATTGGTCCAGTGTTTCCAGAAATGTTTAGACTACTGTTGGATGAGTTGCTATCTGGACAGGCGGTTGATGTTGAAGTCCAACAATGATGGTTCCGGCAATGATGAGAGTGCGCCTCCGACCAAAAGATGCCCCGGAGTAAGTGTAGATACATCCTCAGGATCATCGCTGAGTGGTTCGAGGGGCCTTGAGTTTAGTGTTGCTTCAATTTGCGTCAGCAACGTCGTGAGTTCCTCGAACGTGAGTATGGTGTCTCCTATCGTGCGCCGAAGATGAAATTTGATCGATTTCACCACCGCTTTCCATTTACCACCTATGTGTGGTGCAGCAGGTGGGTTGAAATGCCATTGGATGGAGTCGACGGAAAGCACTGATGAGACAGCATGATGCTCCTGAGTATACTGATTAACACGTTCGTCGCCACGTTACATATATTTGTGTGACAAGTATGCGTCCGTGGGGGCCCCGTCACACATATTTGTGTGACGCTCTTCTTATTCAAGTTAATACGACTTTCAGGTAGATTTTTAAAACGAATTTAATGGAATCAGTATTGAAATATAAATATAGGATATACAACATAAAAATACTACAAATATACATATTATACTATACTTTTTACTAATTTATATAAGATAACATTTTGCATTATACTATATCGTATGGTGTGCATTGAAACATTGCAAACACATTTGTGGTGAATTCGGACATACTTGGAACAATAGGTCGTAGTTTTTTTACATTTTTTTTTGCTTCTTGTCGTTCAGCAGTTTGCCTTCTTTTCTGGTAACATAGGGCACACATCCTTATTACAGGCTTGCCTTGCTGATTCGTACGAATCTCCAGCTTATGGGACACGTTCTTTGTTCTAGTAGAATTTTCCGAGGACAACTATTCGGCAACAAGCAGCTCTCGAAATTTTCTTATTCCAATTTTTTTATTTTTGACTCTCTGATATACGATGTGAGCATTTACTACACTGGTACCCAAAAGCAAATGTAGTGCTAATTTGCGATACCACTTGATACTTTTCCGTATCGTTGTGGCCTATGACACCATCTGGTCGTTCCTGTCGATGTCAGTTATTCCATTATAATAAGCAAGTACCGCTAAAGGTTTCTGTTTAGGAGGACGTCCGCGATGAGTAGAATCCGTGGTTGATGTCATGATAGGTGGATGTCATGATAGGTGGATGTTTTGTTGATAACATCCTAACATCGCGAACGTCCCCTCCACTTCAGCATCACAATACCTTTGTCGTCTTCTCTTGATACTATATCACCTCTCTTCAGTGGGTACGACATTACAAAACTCGGCATAAATTTGGTGTTATACCGCACAGTTCCAACGACATGCGTCTCTTGAATTGTAAAAATTTTAGTGCTAACTCATAACTGGTATAAAAGTTGTCGACAAAGTTCGTCCCTCATTTATCAATTTATCTGTTAGTTCAATGCAGACGTTTTCCGCTAGGCGAACTTGTCTTCTTCCGCTGGTATCTCGTCCAGAATATACTTTCGCCGACCATGTATATTCTTCGGTAGAGCACAATTTGAATAGTTTTATACCATATTTGTGGGATTTCGTTGGGATATACTGCCTGAATATGAGTCGTCCCCTCCAAGGAACCATTGTTTCGTCTATTACAATATCTTAACCTGGTGAAAAGACTTACTGGTAATTATCTACCATTGGTTTTAGGAGTGGCAAAACTTTTCCGAGTCTGCTACGCTCTTCTATCGTTTCGTTATTTGCAAAATGCAAGTTTGCTAACAGTAACTCAAAACGATTACGAGGCATCTGACTGCGCGGAAATGCGAAGTTGTAGATCGGGTCTTTTGACCAACATGTAACGAGCGGTGTCTGTACCAGACCCATCCAAATCATCAGTCCTATAAATTTTTTTATTTCTACACAAGTTGTGGGCTTCCACCTCTTCAATCGAGCATGTTCAGTCGTTTCTTGTTGCAATTTTTGCTCTGCATATCTGTTGGCCTCTATGACTATAAGGGTTATCAGGTTTTCATCCAAGAAAAGCGAAAGTACTTCACTTGCTCTAATGTCAGACGGCAAATCCATGAGAAGGCCACTTTTTCCGGTGAACGTAAATGATTGTTGCCTGTTAGCAAACTTGTTCCACTGGATATCGTCCAATGAATTAACAATAGAGGTCAGCTCCTCTTCTTCGACCACAGCAAGTTTTTCTAATATATGGTCAAGGTCTTCACTTGCATATGATTTCTCAGTATCGGAGCTTGAACTCGATGAAATTCTATTTAATACTTTTCTTCTAAAACTCACTACTTCCTTACCACTGCTCTCCTCATTTTCAATTATATTTTTACACTGTCCAATGAACATTTTGAGGATAAAAGTATGCTTCTGAAATGAAAGATTTGCGATAACTGCAGTGAGATCCCAGACAGTCTACTAGCCGAAAAGTCCACGCCGGTGTGAGTGAATGGCCGCAATAGGGTGACGCGTTCCACTGGCAGCTGTCCCATTAGTTGTTGAGCCCGGGATGCCTCGTTGCTTTGCACAAAACATGCAGCGGAGAATGAAGGACTTGACTGGAACTCTGCCTCCAAGAATCCAGTATGGTTGCCTAATGTCTGCGAGTGTGAGCTGGGTCCCTCCATGATACGTAAGCAGATGCGAATGCGCTATAATGGGTGTAGTTAGGCGTGAGTGGCGAGGCAAGATTGTTGCATGTCTGGCTTCCAATGTGAGTGATGATCTGCTGAGTCGACCCCCTACTTAGATGACTACTTTATGATCTAGGAAGGCGGTCAGTCGAGTGAATGCGTGAGGTGTGGACAAAATTGAGTTAGATTTGAGTGTGTTAATCTCGTGTAAGAAGAAAGCTGCTTGCGTGGCCTTGATCCAGAATATCTTGGCAGCTTCCATCTCTTCCGTTGAGATGTTCGTTGGATGTGCGGTGAACGAATGTTTCCTCAGTCTTCTAACGACCTTGAAGCAGAGAGCCGTCACCCTGAGGAGCCGCTTGAGTGATGAGTAACGATGAATCAGGTCCCAATGGTACTTGATCTTCGGAGCAGCCACAAAAGTGCAGTACCAGGGCGAGCCTTTTTGGCAGGTGGACGTGGCCAAGAGTCCAATGGTTGAATCATCCATGGTGGTCCCGTCCACCACAAAGGATGATCAGCGAGCTGTAGAATGTAAGGCCTCTTGAAGGCCCATCAGCTGAATTAGAGGTGCCAGGAACATGCCTCCACTGAGCTTGTGGCATGAGTCTTTGAATTTGAGCCACCCAGTTCCTGACATAATCCTTCCACCGTGAAGCGGGTGCCGTGATCCATGTGTGTGCCACTCTTGAGTCCGTCTACAAATGAACTGCGTCTATTGGTAGCGTGAGTGCGCTTCATGAGTTTCGTGAGAAGTAGCGCTGCTGAGAGTTCTAGCCTCGGGATGGTTAGTGGCTTGAGAGGKGCTACCCTTGTCTTCGCACAGATGAGCGTTGAGTTGGTGCCTGTGGACGGTGAATGGACTACGATGTAGACTGCAGCCGACATTGCTAGCTGTGATGCATCAGAGAAGTCATAAAGTTCGACTGTAGAATTAGTCTAGGTGTTGACCTTGGCCAAGGTTTTGAGATCTTCTCTAATGTTGAACCATCTATCCTCAATGTTAGATGATAATGAATCATTCCAGCTGACATTGTGCAGCCAAATCTCCTGCAGTAGCATTTTGGCTCTGATGGTGACCGGTGATATGAAGCCAAGTGGATTGAATATCTGCGCTACCAAAGATAGGACTTCGTGAGTTTCTGTGAAAGGTCAGAGAAATGAGATGTGAAGGTGAATGAATCGGCGTGAGGTTGCCATTTTAACCCGAGAATTTTGGTTGTGCAATGGTCAAATGAGATTGCTGTTGAGTTCTCTTCAGCCGGCGAGAGTGTCCTGAGCAGATCTTGCTTTATTGATTGCTATTTTGTTAGTGGGAAGCCTCCTGCATTGCAGAGGTTCTTGAGTTGATGTGCGATCTCGATGAGTTGCTCGCCTGAGTCAGCACCGCCGGAAATGTCATCGACGTATCTGCCTTTCAATAATGAGGGCACCGCTAAACAGTAGCGATGTCCTTCATCCTCAACTAATTGCAGCAATGTTCGTACTGCGAGAAAGGGAGCTGCCGTCGTTCCATAAGTTACTGTGGTAAGGTGGTAATGAGTCTCTTTGAGTTCCTTGTCAACCCAACAGAATTCGCTACAAATCCCAATCGTCATCGTACACTTTGTTCTTTGATTTGACAGTACATCTTCGCAATGTCTGTGGCGGAGATGTGCCGGTGATGACGAATCCAGATAAGTACGTCGGTGATGTCCAACAATAGATTCTCACCGGTGTGCATGATATCGTTGAGCGAGTAACCTGATGTGGTTTTGCTAGAGCCATTAAACACCACTCGCAGCTTGGTTGTTATGCTGTCTGGTTTGAGTACTCTATGATTTCACTGGTAGTATGTTAGTCGAGGCTGAGTCCTTGCCCGTGAACTATTGGATGGCACCCTGAACCCTCCAGATGGTCGTAAGCATCCAAGGTACAAAGGTCATCCTCACCAGCAGTCTCACAAGTGTTCTCGCGTTGACCTCGCTGAGTTGCCTGAGATGCTAATCATGTGACCAAGCTCTTCATATACAAGTTCTTCATATTCTTCATATGAAGTATCTAGTTGACGATACTCATGTGACCAAGCTCTTCATATACTAGCTCTTCATATACTAGCTCTTCATATTCTTCATATGAGGTATATAGTTGACGATACTGTGTGTGTTCATCTCGCTGGAGCCTCTTGAGTAGTCGTTGTAGACAGTGATGAGCTGCTGAGTATGAGTTACCCAGTAAGCTGGGTTATGATTTAAGTGGAAGACGCACGACATATCGTCCGAAGACGTCTCGCGTGTGCGTGGTGCGTAAATGATCTTCACACTCCCTCTCTTCTGGAGTTGGAGCACTTAGAGTGTCCGATGATATCTCCTTCTGTATCCAGAATTTATATAAGACTAAGAGCAGAGTAAACGATAAACTTGACCAAATAATGTAACATCTGGATGATCGTTGCTTCCGCATGCAATCCGAAAAAATTCTGTAATTTAGCATGTAATGAGTACGTATATTGAATAACAACGAAAAAATAGATTRAAGGGAAACAAAGTAATATAAATCAAATTAAATATATTTACCTCTAACGCATTTTGAGTAAGACGTATATTCATTAGATAATTGTAATTACATTCTGTGTTCAAAAATTCCATAAGTTTAAGAGTAGCTTCGAGCAGTATCTTTAACCCAGTCAGTGTGCTTGGAGTTATTGCAAAGAAAAATTTAGCGGGTAGCTGATTCTTACGTAAATGCTTTTGTAATTCTTTATCCCTTTTGTTATTTTTTAACCATTTCGTTACGGCAGTCCGTTCCGCGGCAGTAGCGCCACTGAACGGGGCACCGCGCCGTGCAGTGTGCACATTGCGCATCTGTAGGCCTCGATGTTCGCACTTACGTCTTTCGATGGCACTTTGGAATTCTCGGAGTACTCAGAAATTAACATATTAATAAATTTTACTATTATTATAAATAAAAATACAGTTACCGTAGTTAGATTTCGAATTATACAATAATTCTTAGTAATGTAACTCAGTGTGGTAAATTCTAAAGCAAGGTTCCACGCAGAGACCAACATTACAATCTTTACACTCATATCGAGACTCGCGTCTTTTGTCATTTGCCGTGCAGACGACGCACCTTCTATTTCGGTTTTTTCTTTTTGGTTTATAAAGTGATGGAAAATGCCGTTCTATTAGCCGTAATGGATTGTTGTTGCCTTTTTGATGATGATTAGAAATATTCATACGATATTTTTACAGTATTTTTCGGATTAAATTCAAGTGAAATTTGGCCATAGATATTGGTTTTCGCGTGTTATGCTTATAAAGACAATATGCATTCCACACGCATATGTCCAGCAAATGAAAAAAATATTTACGGTGCCATTTTAGAGATTTCCGTGTCGAATTTATAGTGCTTAGCACCATGTCTGCTTTGTCGACTGAACCTATACAATTATTATAGTCTATGACGCATAGAGGTTTTTTAATAATTTTTTTTCCTCCATGCCTGACAACCGTTGCAAACTCAGAAGCATGCATAGTGGAT